TTATTTCTGGGCGATATAAACGCACTCCTACGTCGGCTGTCAATAATAATACCCAGGCAGGGAGAATCATAACTTTTAATATTACCATTCCTGGGTTGAGAATGGAATTGTATTGCGTGGAAACTATTTGGGTTGTGCAACTACCGGTATAATGCAGTCTAGCTAGCAGCTAGTTAGCTTACTAAGAACTCGAGTAGACTGTTACTACTGGTTCTGGTCTTCAAAATTACAACTATTTTTCATTAATAATTCTAATGTTCTACGGAGAATATGGAACTACCCCGTTTAATATGCAACTAGATATTCTACTGTAATGCAACCTTGCTCTTACTCCCGGCAATCGACCGTAACGGTTTGATACACTCCCACTACTCTTGAATCAACATCACCTTCCACGCCTCTCGTGCATCGGCCGCTACACAAACGCCACCACAAATAGTGCAGCGAATGATATGCATGAAATATCGCTCAGGTACTGTGTGGCGCCTGACGGTTTCGAATCCGAAGACTGGCTGGGGTTTGAGGATGGGGAAGAGCTGGATGCACCAGACTGGCCGGACGAGCTGGATGAACTTGACGAGCTGGAAGAATTGCTTGATTGGCTTCCACTGCTGTTCCTAAATCTTCAAGTACAGCCAGAGCTCCGTCAACATAATATACCAATAGTGCGCACCGGGGGAGGGGTACTTTGGAGGGTTGGCGGCGCTGGGGATCTCGAGGTCTCCGCCATATACAGTCTGTTTCTGGTTTTCATCGCTTCCCCAGACCTTGACCACGTCTGGGAGGACCGAACGCCCACTAATATTGAGGGACGTGTTTGGGACTGGCTGTGGGGCCCACTTCTTACTGTGGAGGATGCCGGGGTAAGACTCGTTAAGATAGACACCATCTAGGTTAGGGTGCTTGCGGACAACATCCTTGGTTTTGTTCGCAACGAGTGAGAAAACGTTGGCTCCAACATCGTAGCGGCCAAGGGTGTGGAGATCCCAATTCGCTTCGATCGTCGATATTTCACTGTAGTGATCTGGGGTTGTTAGGTTTATGCTTCCTGGAATTGGAATGGTAATATATACCGTAGTAATTGCTATCTGTGGTCCCATGGGCGCCCTCCGGTACGGTGCCCCCGAGAAGGATACCAACAACACGATTTGGTCGTGTGTATGTGTGGTTTTCATCAAAAGTAACAAGTATTAGAGTGTCCTGGGGGGTAAGCTAGGAACCTGTGGTAGACTTTCATCAAGAAGCTATATACCTTCATGAAGTAGTCGTTGGTGAGAAGTGGCTCCAAGAAGGACCGTGTCCAGGCGCCAGCAACAGTAACAGATGTATCATGGCCATCTAGATAAGGTCAATAGAGGGCAGTAGCCATGAGCGTTGCAACTCACCTGATGTCATGTTTGGGGTGATGAAAATCTGGTTCCCGTCAGTCCCACATCGGACAGTTCGGAGAAGTCACAACTTACCCATTGCGGCAAATTTTTTGCCTCCAAGTCCGACCAGAACAGAGTCAAATTCTTAATCTTTCCTAGACGCTCAGGGGCATCGGCGACAGAGTTGAACATGACAAGAGGACTAGGATATCACCCGTTAACCCTAACCCGAAGTAATGATCAAGGTCACGCTTGCTCACTTGTGCTTGCGAACATAGGCATTCGCCTGGGTCCGCTGATTTCGGTACTCGTTTCCCGTGAAACCAGTGTATGGCATGTCCTCCTGATATTCTCCCCACGAGATACCCTTATCCTCTAACAGGTCGGCCACACTTGAGATATTTGCCGGGAGTTTGTTCATGTTATCGTTGTTTATACCAAAGTATTCACCACCAACCGAAGCGACATAGTTGGGCTCGCTAGGATGAGTGAGGGCAAAATAATTCGACAAGAGTATGCCTGCGACAAAGAGAATCAGCGACCCGGACAACGCGCGTCGAATTAAATAAAGTAAGTATCACCCTTTGTCGCAAGCCACGAGAGGTTTGCTGAGGAAAATACGTGTTAGTAAGAATGAAATCCAAGCTTCAAAGGTTCAGGTTTCACTCACGATCCCCAGCCGCTTTATCATAATCAGTATTCTCGAGCCAAATAGTGACGAAGCGGTTGAATACTTTTCCTTTGACATCACTAGCAGAGGCAGTGATAGCTGCTGCAGCCGCCAGCAAACACAAACCCGGGGAACGCATTTCGTGATTCTTTTCTCTCGGTGTGCAAGCAAAGGGCTATTATGAATGAACAAGAACAAACAAAAAGGTTTCGGGAAAGAGTGGCGACGGGTAGAACGAGGGTACCTGTAATTAACAATTCCCCGACACCGGGAAAAAAGAATATTATTATCGTTCCTCCCACGGACATCGGATGTCAGCAGTGAGAAGGGCGGATCCTTCTTTATCCTTCCTCCCCTAGGGGAAAGGGTATGAAGTTATTGATGGCAGTGAATAACCAACCGGCTGGACGGCAGGCAATTCAAGACATGTACGAGTATGGTACTGCTAGTACTAGTACTCGTACATTGTGATTCTAGGATGAGCAGAAAATCATAGACACCGCACCAGGGTCCAAAGTGCCGCCATTTCCGTTGGCCGCGTGGATGGGTCCGTGCTACCAGATTGGCCAAGCTTGGGTGTAGATCCTTGGGTGAAAAGCTTCTTCCCTACCCATCCATGGGATGGTGAGATAAGTGGGCCTGACATCTTACGGCACCTGGATTGGATAAGTTTCTCCTCCTCCATCTTCAAAGACAAGCCCCCCCCACAGCCATGACCCAGCACCGTATCTACATCACCACAACTATCCGGCCGAAAAGCGATGGCAGTTTACTGGAAGCTCCCAACTTCTGAAGGGGAGAATGCTGCTGTTGCTTCCGGTACTCCTCAACTGACAAGGCTTGCGAATGTCTTGAGAGCTATATCCCACACTCTCGGATCAATCTCGTTGGCTTTCGTCTTGAGTGTCTCCTTACTAGGTGGCCCGGCTGCTTTCAAAACCCTCAGGGGCCCTGGATTCCGCGTAGAGAAATCCTTTAGAAGAGACCCTTCAGACTATGTCCTGGACAATGATTGGGACGTATACTCAACCTCTACAACCCGAAGCTATAACTGGACCATTTCTGAGATTGAGGCTGCGCCCGATGGTATGATAAAGCCTTCTCTCCACCTCTTTCCATAAACCCCCGGAAACAAGCTTTTCTAGATCTCGCATAAATTCTAACCGAGTCACAGGTATCCTGCGTACGCTCATAGTTATCAACGGCCAATTTCCGGGGCCCCTCGTTGAATGCAACGAAGGTGATACCATTGTGATAGATGTTTACAATGGTGCCACTAATTCTACTTCGCTTCATTGGCACGGGCAGTACCAGAACGGAACAAATTGGATGGACGGGACTGCGGGCGTTACAAATTGTCCCATCCCCCCTGGCAAGTCATTCCGTTACGAGTTTACCGTTCGGGAGCAATGGGGGACATACTGGTAAGCCCCAAACTCGTCACCAAGGGTTCCACAGTAAATGCCCATGATAATGATGCTTAGGTATCATGCGCACTTTTCAACATCGAGGATAGATGGGTTATTTGGCCCATTTATAATCCATTCGCCGAAGGAGAGCATTCAGGGCGATACGGATAGGATAGTTATGGTTCATGACTATTATCACGACCTATCGGCTGCACTTTTGCCGCAGTACCTTGCTCCAGACAGTGAGAATGATGAGCCTGTTCCGGATGGTGCCTTGATAAACGGCATGGGTATCTGCTCCACCTGCGAGCCCTCTTTAGGCAAGCTTGCCACGTTCGGTTTGGATAGAGGCAAAACCCACCGTCTAAGATTCATCAATGTTGGAGCCTTTGCTGAATTTGACGTGGGGATTGACCAGCACGAGCTCTCACTCGTCGAAGTTGATGGTGTGGAGGTTGAGCCCTATAGCCTCCACAGGTTTCGAATTAATGTTGCTCAACGATACTCGGTTATCCTTCATGCAAATCAACCCACCAATTCGTACTGGCTGCGTGCCCGGATGATTGCTCATTGCTTCGCTGAGATCCCGGAGGATTTGAGGCCGGAGGTACTTGGTATCGTGCGATACACTTCTAACGAGGAGGCACCAACCACAAAGGGATGGGGGGAGGCGATGGAGCTGGAGTGCAAAGATCTCAACACCTCCGAGATTGTCCCAGCGGCTGCCATGTCCGCTCCTGAGCCTGATGTGCTCATGTACCTCCGAAGTAACTTTGAAATCGGGGCTTACCGCTTGAGCAGGGGGTTCTTCAATAAGACTTCCTGGCGCCCTGCAGAGGTACCCACGTTACTACAAGCCGTTGGTGGGCTCGCAAGAGTTAACATATCGTTCCCATCTGAGGGTGTCCTCCCGGTGTATGACATCAACCGGCAAATGGTTTACAGAATCGATGGAATTAAGACAGTCGATCTCCTGATTGATAATTTCGACGACGGGTGAGCTAGCCGTCGAAATTAACTCAGACATATACTCACTCATCCAGGAACCATCCTTTCCACCTTCATGGTTACAAATTCTGGGTCCTAGGACAGGGGCGCGGATACTTTGACAAGTCAACATACGCTGCCCTAAATACCACAAACCCACTACGCCGTGATACTGTCACCATCGAAGCCTACGGTTGGGTCCTTATTCGCTTCGTGGCGGATAACCCTGGGATGTGGGCTTTTCATTGTACGTGCTTCTTATTACAACGCTTGGCCACACACACTAACTCTTCCAAGGTCACATAGCATGGCACGTAGAAGCAGGAATGCTGATGCAATTTCTCACTCAGCCAGACATCGTTGCGCGCTGGGAAGCCCCCGAGGATGTAAAAGGGTTCTGCGCCCATCCGGAGGACCAGAGGGGTGGTGGGATACCCGACGAAGACTTTTATGAGCAGGCGAGGGGGCCATCGGGTGGTGAATGATTTTTCGGTGGCTATAATTTTGAGTTACCTTTGGAGTTCGGGCTCGTTGTAGGAATATCCATCACCTGTATCATATAAGGATTAAAGACCCGGTACCACGCAGACTTAACGCACACCGGAACGCCAGTTTTCGAAGAGACCACTTGATAGTATCACCGCTGGTAGGTTCTTCACAAATACAGTGGATATTTATCCTGGAGCTCTCTTGTTCCTTCGCATTACAGAACCCGAGGGCGTACGGGGAATGTACCTGTTCATGACTGCTACGCGATACCACTGCACCTAAGTTGCCTAGACTAGCGTATTACAAAAGGAGTAGCAGACATACTATTCCGAGATATCTTATCCGAATCAATCATTTTCTACAGTAGTCTACACCTTAAACCCCGGAAGCATGGGCCCGTCATCGGCCTCACTCAACCATCTGCGAGCTTAAATCTTAGAAAAAGTGAAACCACTACTGAAATGGAAACAATCTGGGGTAGGAAACGAAATGAAGAGATAGTGGGAGGACTGGCTATCCGAAGTGCAGAAGTATTCTGTTCATGAGTGTGAGTGTGCGAGTGAGAGGTATGATGTAAATTGCTGTGGAAGATTTGGGAGGAGATCAGTGACAAAAGTGTCGGTAATTTGCATTCTATTAGCGGAAAGCTGATCAATGGCTCTCGAGGTCTACCATATATCACAATGCCCAAGACTTGTCCCGGAAAATTTCTTTAAATTCCAGGAACGAGCAAAACGAATCTATGACGGAACTTTAGCTTCATAATAAGCTGGGTATTTTTGCTTTCCAGCTATCTGAGATCTATCATTGTCCGTTTCCCTTGTAATTCTCATCAGGGAAGAAAATCTTCCTCTCGACACCCCTCTCGGTCAGTACCACCATGCGGATAACGCCGCCAGAGCTTCCGTCCCACTTAACAGCCTCGGCTAGAGCGCCCTTCACGAACTCAACACACTCTCCCTCTGTCATATTTTCTTTCCAGTTCGCATCGCAGTAACCGTAGATGTAAGTCGACCCGGAACCGCCAATTGCGTAACGCTGCTTATGAAGCGAACCTCCGAGGGGAATCGAGTATACCTCACCTTTATGGCGGGCATCGTAGCCAGCGATAATCATACTAGCCTGGAGTTGGTCTTTGTTTGAATAACAGAGCTCTTGGAAGATTGAGGCTGCGACTTGGGTGGTTGGAGGTTCGTGGTTTTGAACACTATAAGCAGGGGGTTAGGCTGGGCAAAGGGGCATAATTAGGGCAGGAAAGACGGACTTATACAACTGCAGGTAGTAATGGACAATATCGGCAATGGCCTGGGTATCAGCAGCAGATCCGGATCTGGGATTTAAGTATTAGAATTGGCAAGGCACTAGAAAACACATGTAGGAGAAATCGAAGCTCACCGGCAACACCAGATGGTATCATGAACTTGGGTTAGCTTATCCGTTACTCGATTGGCGATATAAGCGCCAGTAGTTGTTCGGGAGTCGGCGCCTGAGATATGATTAGTCCTGAAAATATCCCAAGAGTGCTCCGATAAACACGTTAGTGGAGATGATGACGAACCAAGGATAACACCGCCATCAAAGAGAGCTGCCATACTGTTTGCAAACCATCAGTCGAAGCGGGGAATTCGGCATGACCGCAAGAGAATCGCCTTACATGGAAGTCCCCAAGCTGAGAAATATTATGTTAGTTTGTCCCCCTTTTAAATAGTTATTTGGGTGATAAACTTACTTGACTTCGCCTTTCTTCAAGTGCTCCATGTCGACATGAATGCCATCTGAAGAATCAATAAGCAAGAGCTCAAAATCGATAGAAAGCTTCAACATACCTATACTAAGATTACCAGCTGGTTTCGATTCCATGATTATTTCGATACTTTGGATATTCAAGATGAAGGGTGGGAGAGATGAAGGTAGATCTAATGGTAAGCTTGGTGATGTTGGGGATGCTTGCGCTGCTGCGGGTCCGTTGCAAGGAAGGTGGGGAGTGTTACCCTCCCATTCAAAGATCTTATCCCCAATTTCATCCTATGAACCTCCAGGTGTCTTCACTGAGAAGCAATCTTCGCCCTGCATCCAGCTTTTCGGTTCATTTCCGTCACCCATTTCCTTAACGCATTCTCAGTTCTGTTTTTTTGCCTCAACTCTCTACATATCGGCTTCGAATTCAAACCCAAATTATTGCGGAAACCTTTGTCCAGAATGGCTACCGCACGCCAAACACTGAGAGATCGTCAAGTCGGTAGGTGTGTACTCTCCTGCTAGCTGAGCCTATGCCACTTTGTTCCGGCTTGCTAATCTCTGTTCCTTTTTTAGCATCTATCGAAAAGATCCTTAACCTCAATCACGAACAGGCGAAACACGAATCCGATATCAACGGCTTAGTTCCTTCGTCCACTCCCATCCTGAACGACGAGGGTGAACCTATATGGAAGGTTTTGGTTTTTGACAACCTGGGCCGAGACGTCATATCTTCCGTCCTTAGAGTACAAGACCTTAGGAACTTTGGTGTGACTATACATCTTAACTTGCTCTCGTCGCGCCACCCAATCCCGGATGTGCCAGTCGTATACTTTGTCGAACCGACAGCTGAGAACATTACAGCTATTTCCAACGACTTGACTAACAATATCTACGACATCGCTTATGTCAACTTCCTATCGTCAGTTCCACGGGCTATTCTGGAGGACTTTGCGGCATTGACTGCTCAGAACAACACCTCTGAGAAGATAGCCCAGGTTTATGACCAGTATTTGAACTTTGTGGTTTCGGAACCGGATCTGTTCAGCTTGAACTTGAAAGATGTTTATTACACGCTTAACTCGGCTCAGGCTGCCGATAGTGCTATTGAACAAGCCATAGATAAAGTCGTCGGTGGTCTATTTTCAGTAGCGGTTACTATGGGTATAACCCCCTTCAGCCTTTACAAACCTCAAATGTACTGACTCCTGCATTCAGGATCTATTCCTGTAATTCGTGCGCCTAAAGGCAACGCCGCCGAACTAATAGCCCAGAAACTTGATCGTAAACTCCGGGATCATGTCCTTAATTCCCGCGATAACAATCTTTTCTCAGCCCGTGCTGGCGTCACTAGCACGGCGCAGTCCCGTCCAGTCTTGATTATCCTTGATCGCAACATTGACCTAATTCCTATGCTTTCACACTCATGGACATATCAATCGCTTGTGCATGACGTGCTCAACATGCGTTTAAATAGGATCACTGTTGAGACAATTGAGGAAGGTGGGAAGGTTAGCAAAAAGAGTTACGATCTAAATTCAAGCGATTTCTTTTGGGCCAAAAATGCAGGAGTACCTTTTCCACAGGTAGCGGAGGACATCGATACGGAGTTGACTCGGTATAAAGAAGATGTTGCGGAGATCACCAAGAAGACTGGGGCGGCATCATTGGAAGATTTACAGAAGTGAGGCTCACCACCTCTCGCTGGTTCTGGGAAATTTCTAACAGCTATAGTGACATCGGCTCCTCCGCCCAACATCTGAAAGCAGCTATTACTCAACTCCCACAACTGCGCGACAGAAAGGCTGTCTTAGATATGCACATGAACATTGCTACTGCCCTTCTTAAAGGCATTAAGGAGCGTCAGCTGGATAACTTCTTCCAAATAGAGGAGGCCATCACTAGGCAGAATAAGGCACAGCTGCTAGAAGTTATCAACGATCCGGAGAGAAAGAATCCGGTCGACAAATTGAGAATGTTTATCATCTGGTATGAGAAATTTCTTAATGGTGTTGTATAGTCGCCATCTAATCCAGACACTAGGTACTTGAGCACAGAGAACGACGTTAGTAGGGGTGATATGCAGGAATATGAGGTAGCCTTGAAGGAGGCTGGATGTGACCTCGAACCCCTGGCCTACGTCAAGAAGTATAAACACGGATCTATTCTCGTTAAGGGGAAATTAGCTAATTTTGGCATTAGAGTTCGCGAAATTACTCGTATGACAATGATGGCATCGGCACCCTCTCAACCTGCCGCCCAGAGTGCCGGAGGCGATCTCTTCAAAGGTTTCAGTTCAATCTCCAACAGATTGACGGATCGCCTCAAGGATGCTGGTGCGCTCGGTGGTGGCTTTGAGAATCTGATTTCTGGCGTCAAAAATTTCCTTCCGGTGAACAAGGACTTGACGATCACTAAAATTGTTGAATCTCTGATGGATCCAACATCTTCGTCCACCTCAGCACTTGCCAAAACCGAAAACTATCTTTACCTTGATCCTCGTTCATCCACTTCTCGCACAGGACCGTCTACTCGACTCGGACCAGACGGTAGACCGATCGTTGGAGGACCTACTTTTGGCCAGAGAAGACAGGGATTTACCGAGGCAGTGGTATTCACGGTTGGTGGAGGCAACATGGAGGAATATGGAAATCTGCAGGAGTGGAGTAGAAGGGTAAATGATGCCAGCGGTGCAGGAGGCACCAGGAGGAAGGTAGTCTACGGAAGCACTGAGTTGATTAGTGCGGAGAAGTTTGTGGGAGGAGAGTTGAAGAGGTTGGGCCAAGAAGGTTAGAAAAATGTGGCTGGTGTGAAATGAAAAAACTAGGCGCATGGGAACGAAAAATAAATGGCTTGGAGACAGTTAACTAACCTGCTTATTAAAATTTTCTGATGGGTATTTTTATTGCACCCTGTACTTCTGCGTTATTCTTAAAAATCACGCAAATCCTGTCAATATTCTTCCCCTCCTTTTTTCCCGAAATTGTAGGCTTTATTCGTTCAAATAATATACAGTTCCAGAGCCTTAGTCAATCGTTCGCATAGCTATGCGGTAGGTTTTCACAGAACATCACTCGTGCAATGTCAAGTTACTAAACAATGATAATCACCAAGCTTTTTCTGTCTCTAGTAGCACTTTTAATTCCCAATGCAAGTCAAGATCATGACAATATTACATCTATCCTAACCCTCCTTCGCAACAGCATTCTTAGTCTGAGTCCACATATACTCCATCTTGGCCCTCTCCAACCGCTCCCTAGCCAACGCATCACTGGGCACTCGCTCAGTAGTAAACCTCTTAAACCCCTTCTGGCGGACCTCGCCCTCCCAGACCAGCGTGCACATATTTTTCGTCATGTCGACCGCCTGCCCTTCTTCCTCGGCCCCTGCATCGCCCTCGACACCTTTAATCCGTTCTCTAGCGGTGATGCTCTCCTTCCAGTCGATCCTGTTCACCATCAATTTACGGAACTTTGTGATGGAGTGGATCCCGCCCTCTACAATAACGAGGTTGAATTTCGGATTGAGAATGCAGATCCCCGTCAAGGCTAATTGCTCCGCGTTGATGTTGATCTTGTACCTATGTCTCCCGTTCGCTAACGTCTCGATGCGGAAGACGAGGACGTGGATGCCACGGGCTAGGTCCTTCTCCTGGTTCGCAGCGAGTTTTTCGTGGCGTTGTTGTTTCGTTAGTTTGCGCTCTTCGTTCGCTTTCAAGTGGCCCTCGTGACGTTCTTTGATTTCACGGTTCACGCGTGCTTCCACTGCCGTGGGGTCTTTCACGGCTTCTTCTCCGAGAACTCGCATTAAGTTTGATTTCTTGATCTTCGGCGGCGGTGGGGGTTCTAGGCCGAGGCGGACTTTTGCTTGCTTTTCTTTCAGGGCTTCGGCGCGGCGTTGGCGGCGGACTTTCTTTTGCTCTTTTTTGGTCAGGGGGAAGGGTTTCATTGGCGGCGCAAGCTGGTCTTGTGGTGGGGCAAGGAGGACCGGGTGTTGGACGTAGTGAGTTACTATTGTGTCGGCAGCAGATATTAGGAGGGATTCTGGGGTTATTGTCTCGTATGAGGGAGCAGTTGTGAGGCCTTGGTCCCACCACTCAATTTCAGGGGGTGGTTCACGCTGTGACAGTGAATTAGCGAGCATATATACATATGGGGTAAGGAAAACTTACAGCAAATGCCTTATCTGCGTGCATGTCCTCATCAATCCCCACCTTCCTGGCCGCCTCCGCAATCCTTTTCTTCATAGCCTCCAGAGCAGCTTGTCTACGCAGAGCATTTGCCTGCTCAATGTATTTCCCCTTCTGATTGAACGCCAAAGCTTTGCTAATCCTCCGGGGCGCAACAACCTTCGACGCAAGATTCGGATCAAAGTAGGGATTCTTGGTGGGATCCGTCATATCCGCCGAGGGGCCCTGAATCTCCAGCTGCTTCTTTCCGGACTTCCCCTTCGCCCGCCGATTCGCCATGGTAGTTGCAAACTTTGGTGGAATCCCCCCCTTCCCACGCTTTGCCGATCCTGCGTCCCCACCATCGCCTAGCAGCGCGGGGTGAAGTCCCACATCCAGCCCGCCACGCGCCTTGGATGCCTCCTCGATGTCCGGCTCTTCCCTCCTGTACGCACTCAGCGGCGGCCTGGGTGGCCCGCCTGCCGCGAGTCCGGAGGATCTGGATACGGCTCCAGACACACGAGCCCTCATTGCAGCGATCCTGTCAGCGGCGGATTGTGCGGCGGGAGGTGGTGGTGCCGGCGGGGGTGTTGGGGATGCGGAGGATGGGGCAGACGCCCTGGCATTGTTGTTTAGCTTTGCGGCGACGGCTGCTGCACGGGCACGGGCTTCCGCTAGCATCTTTTGAATGCGTTCTTGGTCAACTCCCTGCTTTGGCTTTTTGGACGAGATTGAGGGGTCCTCTTCTGGGGGCCGCTTAGAGGGGATCATCGAGGCCATGATGAGCTGTGGGTGTGGCTTGTAGTCTTGGAAAAGTGGAGATGGTGATGGGGGTTGGTTGCTGGTTTCGGGGAGACTGACAGGATTTATGTTGACCTGGAGCGCGAAAGATAGAATTAGTGAAGGTTGAAAGACTGCCTAAATGGTGTCACGTGTTTGTCTTGGCGGGGGCAAAGAAGTCAGCCACCCCTGGATGAACAACACTCTACGAGTACGAGGACAATCAAAATCGACAAAGAACGACGATTATATTTTTCTCAACTAGCTGTTCACCTCTACGTCAAACAAACCTATAACTACACAACCACACAACTGCACCCACAAATGCCCAAGAGGAAAGTGCCACCCACCGAAATGTCATCAGAATCGATCGCTCCCGGACCTCGTCACTCCAAACTCTCAGAGTCCGAATCCACCGACGCTTCAGACGCAGCGGCAACCCCAGAATCCTCCGATGCCGCTCAAAAAACTAAAGAGCGTGCCGAACGCTGGAATGCTCTAAAATGCCGTGCTGTAACTACCCCCCTCTCTCTTACGCTCTGTATTCCCTAATTAACCTACCTCCTGATGGCAGAAAAAATCCGCCGAAGTAAACCGCAAAGAAGTCTACGCCGAGCGTCGCCGTCAAGCCGTAGATCCTTCAGAAACCTCCCGGCTCAACCGCAAGCGCGACGAGGCGGAATTCAAACTTGCCAAGGCCGAAGCAGAAGATGACGGGGAGGACTTTGAGCGAAAGAGAGCGTGGGACTGGACCATTGAAGAGAGCGAACGTTGGGATAAACGCATGGAGAAGAAAAAGAAGCATGTTGAGGACGTTGCTTTCCAAGGTTTGTCCCACCACCCAACACATAATAACAATGATTTCATGGAGGACTGGCTAATCTGATGCTGAGCAGACTACACCCAGACCGCCCGCAAAATCTACAAGAAGCAGCTCCGCGAATTACAACCCGATCTCGAATCCTACGCCGCCGAGAAAGCAAAGTTAATCCGCGACGGGACCATTGTCGAGACCGAGGATGGAGAATTGATCGCCGTGGATCGCGATGGGGAGTTCTACGCCGACACCAACTCCCTTGGCTTCATTGATAACAAGCCCAGCAAAGGCGCCGTCGATAGGTTAGTCGGCGACCTTAAGAAAGCCGAAGATGCCCGCATGCGCAGGCGCAAGGGCGGCGATGAGGAGGATGTGACCTACATCAATGATAAGAATAAGCAGTTTAATCAGAAGTTGGCGAGGTACTATAATAAGGTATGTTCTACCAACATCCTGGTTATACCCCCCCCCAGGATGGGTGGATGGATGCTGATGTTCGGGTTTAGTATACTGGGGAGATTAGAGATAGCTTTGAGAGAGGTACTATGGTTTAGAGATGGGTTGTTCGTGACATTGGCTTGGCTGGCGTAATGGTTGGAAATGACACATCGAGGGGCTAGTTAGCGGCAGTTTGTGCTCCCTTGTTGGTAGTGTTTATTCTACAGATGTAGTCTACTCGAGTAGAAGTCTTAATTTAGTGGGTGATCTGCGCAGATTCCTTTGCCGCTATTCTTTCTGTGAGCAGTGATGATAGACTGCAATATGAGGGCTTGTATGGTATGTTATAAATTCAGCGATATGATACTTGAAGTTTAACAGCTCTTAATCTTAGGGATCGGTAGAAGTCCCGATTCCAGGGTTTATCCCCACGATCCGTGCTTCACAGCATGTCTCCGATCCCACATCAGAACGCCACCCACCACCACATCACTTTATCAAGAACTTCGGCACCAGTATGTAAACTGACTGTAAGATTCAAATCTTGATTTTACGATTCTCGAGAAGCATCTCCTTGTTTATGCTCGGGCAAGGACTCTGGAAAGAGGGAAGGAGGGGGGCCATTTTACCAACATGTAGCTAGGTAGATCTCATGGCGGCATTAATTATTTAGGATATCACGAAATGCTTGTACAAACCTATTTGCTTCTACCATAATGGTTACATGAATTCCCAATAAAAGAAATTGAAACCCCAACCCATATTTTTAATCCGTAAGCCCGCGAACATAGAAGGAAAACGTGTTTAGTACAAGCGCTTAGGAGGAGACATCGAGGCTTTCTGTAGACAAATCAGCAATTCGCTACCAAAACCACTTAGAAACAGAATAACATACGATAGTCAAAGACCCAACGTTCTGCCATCCCTTCTTCAATAGGGAAACCAAGTAGTTTATAGCAAGCATGATATTTCCAATTAATTGGTCCTCAGTCATGCCAACATTTCCAACAGCAACACCCAAGCAGAGAACCTTCTTGAGTTGGAACTTGATGGTGCACTTGACGTCGTTCACCTTCTGGGCCAAATCTTCGGCGTGGGAAATGGGAGTGGGGAACTTTCCAGCCTTTGACAAACCGGGGCCGAGGAGACGGGGGATCTGCTTGATGAGCTGCTCGGAGGCGACGAAGGCATCGTACTTGCGGGCAAGCTTCTTGATGAGTTTCTTGTTCTTGTTAAGCTTCTTCAAGTCGTCAACTGACATGGACTCAAAGTTGTGGTGCTTGGCGCGATCGATGTCGTGCTGGTCTCCAAGGATACTAAATCGCCATTCATCTAGAATCAGTTGGCTACTCTCAATCACCTTTCTTCCGCCTCGTTGTTTTCGCCATCAAAAGAATTCAAGAGTCAAGGGAGGAACTGAATCTTCACCAGATAGACATGTTTGGCCGGGGAACCTGGGGCAACTTGACAGTTCCAGAGAAACGCTTGTCACGCATGGGGTCATAGTTCTTGAGTCCAATTTGGAGCTCGACGGTCTCGAGGAAGTTCCGCTTCTTCTCATTTGTGGAGTACTCCAATAGCTCCTTTACGTTTCCACGCACTCCGGCTGTAAAACGTGGGAAATTAGCAATTTTGTTCAATAGCTTAATTATGACGGGAAGGTTGACGAACCGACTGTGATTTTGGACATGGTGAATCAGTCTTCCAAGCGAATTAATCGTTGGTGGGGAATTTGTGGAATGTCGAGGAGTGTTGAGTAGTGAGTCTGGAGAAATTTGGAGGGGGTGAATTTTACAGTTGCTCATGGATTGTGTGTGCGGAAGACTTGGCGAGTTGGCAGTCACGGATCGATTAGATTAGGTAACGGAGATCTGGCCAAGGTCAGACTCATGGATGATCACTCGGCCAGCTAACTAGTGCCCTTAAGATTCGGCAGCACCGCTTTCTGAATAATGCCAGATAAACCCTAGAGGAGCTGTAAATGGTCCGAAAGTACATTGGGCTCAAATATCCAATTCCCGTCGCTGAACCGAAAGCTATCAACCCAACACTCTCCAAAACATGGTTTATGCACAAGCAACAGCTACAGAAAAGCACAAACGTCAAACTCGATCCCTATCATCCGTTCCACAAATAACTCTATACAAGAAGAACAAGAACCCCATCATGGCCGCAACAACCCCCGAAACAATAGTGACTTGGCTAATGGCTTTCCACGCCAACTCTCCCTTCTTCCCTTCCTCCCCAACCTCCCCCCCAGCATCACCCTCACCCTCCCCGCCTCTCTTATCACCCTCCCCTGTTTCCCTTGTCTGCCACCTACTCGCCGTATTTGCTGCCGGTGGGGCTTACATCGCAGTCTTCTTGGGAGCGTAATTGGGAATGAATCGACTGGGGCAGTGCACTTGCTCAATTCCCAATTCTGCCGCTAGGGAAACGATATCCTCGTGAGACTTGAGATCCTCCACCTTGCCGAATGTGTTGATGGAGGGCTCAGCTGGTGCAGAACTGCTTATCTTTGAGAACTCTCTGGTGCTGCTATCCCGAGTAGAAGTTGTGGTAGGAGAGCCTAGCCCCGTGGGTGTCGCGGCAATGGAGGTTGGAGCAGAAGCACGTTTTTCGGTTGAAGTAGAGACATTCAAGTACGTTATTGGTTGGGGTAAGAGGGGTGATGGTATCGGCGTCTCTTCTGGGTTGATGTTCAGGGCTTGAGGGGGTTCTGCAGTTGGTTTTGGGGCTTGTGCTCTCATGCCGCCAAAGTGGACGAAGCTTCTGTGTGAAGGGATAGATGGAATAGGAGTCTGCGAAATTTCCTCCCCCGGATTTGGCGGCTTCCTCTTCTCTATTTCTGCTAAGTGTTGGCATAGATTCTCTAGCATTAGCCACATCCCCCACCGCGACAGTAGATGTCGGGTGGGAAGTGATTGTGCTCGGAACACCTTCAGCATTCTTTGCCGAAACCGTGACCGTAACCTCATTCGTCTCCCCAGTAACCGTGACCTCGGATCCCGTGACTCGCACAGTCGCCGTCTCAGTGCTCTCGGGGGGCGCAACAGTGCTGGTTCTAGTTGTTACTGTAATGGCTTTCTTGGGTTTGACGCTTTGACTAATATTGATCGGGCCGAATATTCCGTCTAGAAGGCCGGTGTCAACACCCTTAGCCGTGACAGTTACTGTCAAGGTGACGGGTTCTAGTTGAGCTCCTTCTGTGACAGCGGGGCCAGGAACAGTGACTGTTATCGTAGTTGGAGGATCGCAGAAGTCTCCCAGGCCAGGGCCGAAGATCGGAGGATCATCGAATTGAGGGGACGAATCAGCCGAACGGGGGTGGTTACGGTAATGGCTATGAGAGCAGGCATGTCCGATTGGTTTGTTAGGAAGGGGTGAAGATGCGATATATTGAACGAATGGCAGGATAAAGAGGAGTTGTAAGGTTTGCATATTGGAACTTTGGTGCTCGGTGTGCTAGGTAATTGCTTGAGGATGGCGGAAGCTCCGAAAGGTAGTGCTGGTGCTTTTCTTATACACCGAGTTGGGGTAGGCATTGTGAAAGTTGTGAGCTGGATACTTGGTGATTGGTGGAGTACTTATAGGTTGGCTGGTGAGGAAACGTGGAGGATAGATCTGAGGTTGGTAAATAGCACGTTCCTAGAGTTCAAGGTTGGCGCTGATTCAGGTATGATACCTTGCGCGGAGTATCTGCGTGAAACGGTCCCATCTAGCCTCCCAAATATCGCGCTGGGGGCTAAAAGAGGAGGTTTAAGTGTCTGAGTATGAGGTGGTGATTGGAGTTGAAACATGAATAACATTTCTCCACCACCATGATACCCTTCTCCCCAGCATTCTTTAAGCCCCCACGAGTAAGATGTATACAAAATGGACTTCTATTGCCTCAGCTCAACTTGGCTAAGGAATGGGTTTTCGGTTGGAATTTTGGACGCATCCGGCTTGGTAGCATCATCATATCTGCAGTGCAATGATATACCACCTTATGACTGCCTTAACAGATCCGTGAGATGGTCAGACTATAGCCACAAGACAACATTGGAATCAAGCAAGGTTAATTTGGTTAATGAGAAGGCTCAAGTAAGCTACCGGTACTGCCGGTAGGTGTTGTGTCAATCCGGTGGGTGGGTTCTGCGATAAGGCAGCCAGAATGACTTAAATTTATGTATGAACGAGATGATTAGGGGATGCGCCTGCGGCTCTTTGACTACCTTTTTCAACCCCTCTACGCCCCTTCCCCAACCACTCAATGGTGGGAATGCGGCGTTATTATTTTATTCGAGCGCAGTAGAACAGCCAGGCTATCAAATGAAGAATACCGGTGCAGGAGGAGCATGTCACGGGGGAGGCAATCCAAGCAAAGAGGAGTGAAAGAACTGGAGAAATATCATACCGGTATCATACCCGCATTTCGCCTCACCAAAACTCACTCAGATCGGCACATTTTTTCCCGTTCCGCGTTGGTGCGACGTGCGTCACCCTTTCTTCGTCTCGTCTTCCTTCGCTTCCTAGGCCCAGACTGACCAGGTCACCAGAAACCCTCTCTCTCACCCTCTCTCGCTTTCTTTCTTTCTTTCTTTTGATAATTCTTGAATTCACTCCTCTTTTTGCCCCATTTCCTACTTTGGCGACTTCATCTTTCTCCTTTTACCCTACCGGGTACCTTTCTTTTTGTTGTCACTATGGCTAACGCATCTCCTCCGCCACCCTACTCTTCCTCCTCTTCGTCTGCTTACCCACTGAGGCCTTTAAAGTCCGCTCTCCGGTCGCGCCAGCAAAGGCCCCCGGAAGTACTTGAGCGAGAGCGGATACTTCTCGCTCGCCTCCAAACCGTTGACCAGCCAAGAGAAAAGCCCATCCGTGACTTTCTTGCAACACGTTTCTACAAGTTTGTCCTTCTTATCATTCATCTACTTTTCAGCATATACCTGAAGTTCCGATGGGCCTACCACAACATTCTCAACCGCGGACTCTCCATTCTTTATTACCATCACCGAACGCCACAGTTGATACAGAAGGATGTGAAGGAATTGGAGGAGCGGGGAAAGTTGCCGGAGCATGTTAGTGTTGTTTTGGAATATGAAAGGGGAGGACTGGATACGCTTATCGACGAGGTCTCCGAGATTAGTTGTTGGTGTGCAAGCGCTGGGATCAAAACCTTGAGTGTTTATGAGCAGACTGGTACATTCGCTAGTTGTGATTACACACGCATATGGCTCACAGTGCTGCATAGGAATTCTAAAATCCTACATTTCCACATCTCACCGTTCGATCTCTCAGAGGCTCCATAGCTATTTCGGAAAGTCCCGGCCAAGCATTCGAGTACATGCGCCCCCATTGTCCTCTCTCCACGAACCTGGCGAGGAGGGCAGAGAGGTTGACTTGGAAGTTATCCTTATTTCCGAAGAGGACGGTAGGGAGTCGCTGGTTGATTTGACCAAGACTTTGTGTGATATGGCCCAGAGGGGGAAAATATCTTCAGAGGACGTTAGCGTTGAATTGATTGATGCCGAAGTTACAGGTATATTTGTTCCCCGAACATATGATAGGTGGTGTGACAGGTACTAATGAGTTCTAGAAAACACTATTTCCGAGCCCGACTTGCTGATTTTATTCTCACCCTCAGTTGTTTTAAGAGGATACCCTCCATGGCAAATCCGGTTAACAGAGATATTGTATGTTTTTTCCACGTTGGGTTAAGGAACCCGACAGCTAATATCTTCTGCAAAGTCATGTGCAAGACAACTCAGGGGTTGGCTACCAAGTCTTTCTTAGGGCATTACATAGATTCGCAAAAACAGAGATGCGTTTTGGGAGGTAGGGCGCCTTGCCGATTGTCCTCTTCCCCCCTTCCCTACTCTATCTCGTTCTCTCTTCTTGACTTCTTTTGAGCCGACTGGTTGCCTTTGAGCGTATATATCACATATTTTTCCTTTTTTTTCCATCCAGGAAATCGTAGGGTGATTTGGATTCATAGACTACGGGCTTTTCATCTCACTTGGTCTGGTTAAGGGTAGAATAATAAGAGCTGCGTGGATACCGAGGTATGTGAACGATTGCGGGATTTCCGTAGCTTGTAGCCGTCGTGCCAGAGTTATACAGTACACACAAGCAATTAGGCTTCTTCGGTGCTGTTTATATCCTAGTCCGTCGGTATTAGTAGAGGGCCTTCCACGTGATTTTATAGATGTGCGCAAAGACATTTATAGAAGATCACCAAATCTCAATCCTATTAAACAGGTTTAGACATGCTATAAGAAGCTTTGCTAGAAATACTTTGCTTACTTGAATAAATATACTAGATCAACAGAGTAGACACTAATTTATTGTTAAGAGTTGACACCTGACTTTTTATTTTAAATATTAGTATAAGAGACGATATTTCTAGGAGGATCAATACATTATTATAATTATGAAGGCGAAAGGATGGTATACCAGTACTAGATATTAAATTTTTATTTCAGATTTATTCTTCTCCACCCCATGATATCTATTACATTCTATAAAAAAAAAAAAAAAAAAAAAAAAAATCTCAGCTCTTGTTAGGAGTACCAGGACCCAATACCTAGGAACCACCCTAAGTAGGGTAACCCTACCGGGAATTGGAATCTCTGGTCTCCAACACCCCCCTCCAGCCCTCTTGTGGGGCCCACATGTCATCATATATATTGATCTCAGTTGTGTCCTGTAACTATAATCCTACAGAAATGAAGGTGTAAGAATAACACTGTATATGTTACTGCTATCTGTCTGAGTGGATCCTGTTTATAGGTTATATGAGAGGGGACTTTCAGCCAGGTCTGGGAAGTAGAACACAGTATATCTGTCAACTACTCAGAGAGTTACTAGGCTTCAAAGATTTTATGCCTTCGGCATGGGCCGTAGGTAACGGGACGTTTTCGCACAAAGAGATGGTATTGAATAGTAAAAGTTCTCAATAAGAATCCAATACATTCGTACCTATCTTACGATAATCAGAAGAGTCTAGAAATCTGAGCCACAATACCACAAAAGCCAATGGACTTCGTAGAGTATTACAACTAGGTTGAGGAATGCGCCAAGATTATGGGAATGATTTCCAATATTATAACGGTGAATGAAACCCTGTTACCCATAGTAACCAAGAGTTACTAACTGAGGGATTATCTATCAATCTGGTAGAATAGCTTTCTGCGAATTAGTAGAAAGTTTTCTGGAAGAAATCTGTTAGTTGAATATGGAGTTATAGAGGTTTAAAGTCAGGTGACTAAAGAAGGTTGCAATTACAACTACCTCCACAGATACAACCCACAATGAAACTGGTCATTTCATCAATGACAGAGACAATTGGGGCCAACTCAGTTCAACTTGAGAATTAGGCCATAAGTCTAAAGACTCTGATGATTAGATAATTACTATTAGGAACAGCATTACTCCTGGTTAGCAATATCATAATTACCGAAGAGAGTATGGTAATTTTCAGGGCCTCTAAGTGTTCACACCTTTGAAGAACACCTGACGTTGCGAGTTATAATCAGAGAGGTACATATTTGTATAATAGATATATATAGTCCATGAATACTCAGATGCAAAATATAAATATTGAAGTGTCTTTCAAGCTTTTAGACACCATCAAGCAATGGAGAAGAGACCTTAATAATATAATATTGTCTTTACAATTCTATTCTACTTTCTACTTTACTTTGCTCTTAGTAGTTATAAATGAAATGAGTGAATTCTGAGCCTTTCTAGACAATCTCTGTCTGTAGAAATAAATCTTGATTGGACTAGACAACTCTGAAGTCTATCAGGTTGTCTCCGTCTAAAAAGTAACCTTACTCAGAAGTGGAAACTCTAGTCTCCAACACCCTGTCTAGTCCCCTTATGGGGCCTGCACGTTATCATATAAACTTTATATCCTTTCGTCCCTGTGAAAATAATGCTACAGGATTTAAGAAGTCAAAATAATACTAATAACCTTCCCGGCGGTCTGTCTGGCTAGGATCCATTCATGGGGAATATGAAGAGGGGGCTTTCCGGCT